CCCTCTCTTCCTCCTTCCCTCCCTCCCTCTCTTCCTCCTTCTGTCCCTCCCTCCCTCTCTTCCTCCTTCTGTCCCTCCCTCCATCTTTTCTTCCCCTTTCATCCCTCAATCGCCTTCCTCCATCCCTTCTTCCCCTTCCTTCCTTCCCTCCCTCCATCCCTTTTCTTCCCCTTCCTTCCCTCCTTCTCCTTCCTTCCTTCCTTCCTTCCTTCCTTCCTTCCTTCCTTCCTTCCTTCCTTCCTTCCTTCCTTCCTTCCTTCCCTCCCTCCCTTCCTTGGCTCCTGCCTTCTTTTGCGTAGGTTTTTAATTAACACATTTTCCGGAGCTTCCGACACAAAGCATGAACAAATATATACAGTAGCCCTTTAGACTTGAACAGCCCAAGAAGCCTCCAACCCGCTCCCCCGCTCCCAATATCTCACACTAGCTAAGTTTAGGGTGTTACGTGAATGTAATCCCAGGGGTTGCAACTGAGCCGCTCAACAGTGATCTCTGGACACAGCTGGGAATCTCGCTTCTGGGTGTGCCCTCTGGCCATATCCAGAAAAGAGGAGGCCCGGAGCGTGACCTATTTCCAGCACCAACTCCTGGGACAGAGCCCAGCCGGCCTCGCGCAGAAACACATCAGGGTTGTCCCAAAAAGTCCTTTATCCAAAAAAAACAACCGGACTTGGTTTTTTCCCTGAAGAGGTTTTGCTTCCCACCCAAGAAGCTTCTTCAGTTCTGGCGGAATCCTTCCGTGCATTCTCCACCATTCTGTCAGAACCCAAGAAGCTTCTTGGATGCGAAGCGAAACCTCTTCAAGGAAAAAACAAAGCCCACTTGCCTGTTGAAAAAAGCAGATAACAGATAATCAGAGTTGGAAGGGAGCTTGTAGGTCATCTAGTCCAACCCCACCACCCAAGCGGGAGACCCTACACATTTCTGACAGAGGACAGTCCAGTCTCTTCTTGAAAGTCTCCAGTGATGAAGCTCCCACAACCCCCGAAGGCAACTTCTATTCCATGGGTTGATTGTTCTCACTGTCAGAAAATTCCTCCTTATTCCTTGGCTAAATCTCTCCTTGGTCAGTTTCCATCCATTATTCCTTGTCTGGCCTTCAGGTGCCTTGGAAAACAGCTTGACCCCCTTCCTCCTCCTCTCTGGGGCAGCCCTTCAAATATTGGAACTCTGCTATCAGATCACCCCATCCTTCTTTTCCTTAAACTAGACATGTCTTCTGACTATCCACGGTTTGCTCAAATTCCTTCCTTCCTTCCTTCTTTCCTTCCTTCCTTCCTTCCTTCCTTCCTTCCTTCCTTCCTTCCTTCCTTCCTTCCTTCCTTCCTTCCTTCCTTCCTTCCTTCCTTCCTTCTTTTTCTTTCTTTTGCTTTGGAAAATAGCTTGACCTCTCTCCTTTCTCCTCAAACATTGGAAGATGCTCTCCTGTCTCCCCTGGTCCTTCTCTTCCCTAGACTAGCCAGGCCCAGTTCCTGCAACCGTCCATCGTAGGTTTTAGCCTCCAGTCCCCTCATCATCCTGGTTGCTCTTCTCTGCACTTTTTCTAGAGTCTCAACCTCTTTTTTTGTAGTATGGTGCCTAAAACTGGATGCAGTACTCTAAGTGTAGTCTTACTAAGGCTTTACAGAGTGGTATTAGGACCTCCCTTGATCTCAGTTGCATCCCTCTGTGAATGCAACTGAGGATTGTGTTGGCTTTTTTGGCTGCTGGCTCCTAATTTAGCTGGTTGTCCACTAAGACTCCAAGATCCCTCTCCCAGTTCCTGCTATTGAGCCTGGTTTTCACCCAGTCTATATGTGTGGATTTTTGGTTTTGCATAGCTGCATGCTCAAGCTTTTCAGCCCCA